ACCCCTGTCCCCATCCCACCCCTGCCCCATCCCATCCCCAATCCTGTCCCCATCCCATCTCCATCCCTGTTCTCATCCCATCTCCATCCCTGCCCCCATCCCTGTCCTTGTCCCTGACCCCATCCCTGTCCCCACTCTTGTCCCTATCCCCATCTGTCTTCTTATCCCTGTCCCAACCCCATCCCATCCCTGTCCTTGTCCCCATCCTTATCCCCATTTATGCTCTTATTCCTGTCCCCTCCCTATTGCCATCCTCATCACTGTCCCTACTCCCATCATTCCTACCCTCGTACCCATTCCCCCTTCTGTCCCCATCCTTGTCCCTGTCCCCATCCCCATCCTGTTCCACTCACATTGCTACCCCTGTCCCCACACCCTTTCCCATCCTCATCCCTGGTCCCTGTTCCCCTTCCATTCCCAACCCTTTTTCCTATCTCTATCCCATTCCCATCCTTGTTTCCCTTCCCATCCTGATTCCTATTCCCATCATCTCCATTCCCATCCCATTCCCACCCCTATTCCCCATCCTTATTCCCACCCCATTCCCATCCCTATCCCCCATCTCCATTCCCTTGCCCATTCCCACCCCTACTCCCCATTCCTATTCCCACCCCTATTCGCCATTCTCACTCCCACCCCATTCATTTCCACACCATCCCCATTCCCATCCCTCTTCCTATGTCCATCCCCACCCTGTCCCCATTCCCAGTTCCCATCCCCATTCCCACCCCGTTCCCATTCCTCACTTCACACGGAAGTCATCGGCCGCCAGGCGCGCGTTGTCGATCTGCAGAACCATCCGGGCGTTCCCCACTGTGGCCTCCAGGATCTGCAGGGACATGAACACGGGTCACCGGGACACACGGACACATGGAAACACAGGCAAGGACACACAGACACAGGATGGACACGTGGGCACGTGTGGGACTTGATGATCTCTGAGGTCTTTTCCAACAAAGGTAATTCCATCGTGCATGGACACACGGACACGTGGACAGATGGACACAGGGACACATGAGCACATGGACACACGGACACACAGACATGTGGACACAGACACGTGGACACACGTGCAGACATGGACACAGAGGCACATTGGTCACACAGACGTGTGGGCACAGAGACACACGGACACACGACACCGTCACCAGGGCCCCCCCGCCCCCCCCGCTGTGTCACCACCCGCGTCACCAGCAGGTGCCACCTGGCGCCACCGCTCCCGCGGGGGGGGGGTGGGGGCCTCGCCCCGGAACAGCGGCGATAAACGGGTGGGGGGAGGCACCCGGGG